GGTTTTAGCGATATGTTGCTAGGTACTGGATTGTGTATTACAGTGGTATATTTAAGTACGCTGACTATGGGGAGAGGTTATATGGGTTATTGTGATGGTTTATATAGCGAAAATGAAAGAAAGCTATAATTAATTTGGACTAGAATATTCGCAGAATGTATTTACAAACGAAACTTTAGAACCATTTTGTTTATAACTCGTCTCTTACCTTGTAGAGTATCTTGACCGGCTACTTGTACAAGGTGATCATATTAGAGAAGATGAGAGAGGGGTGAAATAAAGAGGGAGAGAGTGAGAGACAGAGTGCGAGGGCGAGCGAGCGACAGAGAGGTGGGAAAGCGAGAGCGAACGAACGAGCGAGAGAGGAGAGAGGAGAGAGAGAGAGAGAGAGAGAGAGGAGAGAGAGAGAGAGAAGAGAGAGAGAGAGAGCGCGAGTGCGAGAGCGAACGAGCGACAGAAAAAGAGAGGGGGAAAGCGAGAGAGGGGAGAGATAGATAGATATATATCAGAGGAGAGGGGAGAGAAAGAGAGAGAAGGATAGAGCCCAGAGAGATAAAGGGAGGGCGAGATCACGAGAGAGAGAGATCACGAGAGGAGAGAGAGAGAGCGCCGAAAGAGCAGAGAGAGAGAGAGAGAGAGAGAGAGAGAGAGAGAGAGAGAGGAGAGAGCGAGAGAAGAGAGAGAAGAGAGAGAGAGAGAAGAGAGAGCGCGCAATAGAGAGAGGGAGAGAGAGGGGAAGAAGGAAGAGAGATAGATAGATAGATAGATAGATAGATAGATAGATAGATTAGATAGATAGATTAGATGATAGATAGATAGATAGATAGATAGATAGATAGATAGATAGATGATAGATGATAGATAGATAGATAGATAGATAGATAGATAGATAGATAGATAGATAGATAGAATCGACTAGATAAGATACGCACGCACGACGCACGCACGCACGACGCACGCAACGCACGCACGCACGCACGCCACGCACGCACAGCACGGCAACGCACGCGACGGACGGAGACGGAGCGACGGACGGACGGACGGACGGACGGACGGGACGCGAACGGACGGATAGATAGAGAAATAGATAGAGAAATAGATAAATGGATAGATAGAGAAATAGATAGATGGATAGATAGAGAATAGTAGATGGATAGATAGAGAAATAGATAGATGGATAGATAGAGAAATAGATAGATGGATAGATAGAGAAATAGATAGATGGATAGATAGAGAAATAGATAGATAGAGATATATATAGCAGGAGAGAGCGAGGAAGGGTCCGAGAGAAGAGAAGAGAAAACGAGAGAGAACGAAAGAGCGTAAGAGACTGAGAGAGCCCGACAGCGAGAGAAAGGGAGAGCGAGAGCGAGAGAGAGGTAGACACAGAGAGAAAGCGAGAGAGAGAGAGAGAGAGAGAGAGAGAGAGCGAGAGAGAGGGAAGGGTAGATAAACTGCACAAACATCATTGTCAGTCGCAACTGATCCGTCATCTGCCTTTCGTTGTCGAATTTCATATTAATTTAATTTAATTTAATGTTTTTCCAGTGCCGAATGCCGCGCCGTAACCATACATTAACATACAGAGGAGACGGAGAATCGACACGTTTTCAAGGAAACATTGAGCAGCGAGCGATTCAGTGGTTACCCGTCTCCAGTTACGCATACCACGAAGTTCGTAGAGCTATACGTACACGTTTGATGCGACCTGAGTTTGGAGATACTATTCATACTGATTTCATCACGTAAAGTAAAACGTCTTCTCATATAGCGTAATTGCAAGAGCATTTGTTCCCTAATTGAAGTTGTATTCCCCTTAGAGAGATTCCATTCGTAAAGAGCTATGATAAACGCGTTGTTAACTAGCTATATTCTCTTTACAAACATTTTACTTCCATGATATATCCTTAATTTTTATTATTTAAATATTATTAGAGGATATATTGGTTAAATTAAAGCATGAACGCGTGATTAAAAGCTTTAAGTAAAACCACCAATGTATATCAATTATAAATGGAACTTTAAACTAAAAATAGCGGTTGTAAAACACTTTTGGCCTTATAGTAAAATAATTCATCGGTCAGCCTTTTATAAACGAATGTCGTTACAAATTTTATATATAAATAATACATTTGATCTAGTTAATATTCCTTTCAGTCACTGGTAAGTCATGTTTCTAAACATGTGCTCTCACACGTCCCCTGTGATTTGCCGCGTATGGTTTGTACGCCTGCGGGCCACTGTCAGAATCTTTGCAAAAGAATTTAGTTAAGATGTTCCTGACAACGGTCCCCTGATTATAAACTCACGTTTTTATATTTATTATTACATATTATAATTGCGTACATTTATGACGTATATTATAGTCCACGCGCGTGCGTAGGCCTATTAGCACATGTTTTCACGATTGAAATACTTTCTAATAAATATACTCGTACTAAAATTTTTCGAGGTACTTTTTATATGATGGCGATTGTGTAAATGATGTGAACAATAATTTGTAAAGAAAGCTCTACATATTTCAGCTGTAGGATAATACAGTGCAGTGAATCACTGGTTGCAGTGATGGGAATCCCCGCATGTAGAGTAGAGTCCAGTGCAGTAGAGCAACAGAGCAGTAGAGTCCAGTGCAGTAGAGCAACAGAGCAGTAGAGTCCAGTGCAGTAGAGCAACAGAGCAGTAGAGTCCAGTGCAGTAGAGCAACAGAGCAGTAGAGTCCAGTCCAGTAGCGCAACAGAGCAGTAGAGTCCAGTGCAGTAGAGCAACAGAGCAGTAGAGTCCAGTTCAATAGAGCAGCAGAGCAGTATAGTAGAGTAGAGTACAGTGCAGTAGAGCAGAGTAGAATGCAGGAGTTGTTGTTGTTGTTGTAGAAGTTGTTGTTGCGTGGATTTTCAAAATGTGTACATCACTTGATTGAAGTCATGGTCACGGTCAAGTTGACTCGATCGAAGTCATGGTCATGGTCAAGTTGTGTTTATATTTCGCCTAACAACATCTTGAAAATATCTTACCGTAGTTGACAAGATTTGAACCCGGAATTATTGAGTACCAGCCCAGCACGATACGCTAGCACCCAAACACACCATTTCTTTTATTTTTAGAACGAAACTATGTGTTAAATTTTACTCAACGCGAATTTGAAAATATTTTAAGATGTTACCTCACAAGAATTGAACACGGGACAACCCGGTCCTATTCCAACATGTTACGCACATGCCTAAACATACAACTTCTGAGTTGTTCAGATCTGATGTGTGTGTTACGTTTTCGTTTAACAGCAAATAAGAAAAGAAAAATGAGTTTTAAGTTTAAAGCGTTAACGTGGAAATATCCACTTATAAACTTCCATTTATAAACGAGATAGAAATACTTGTACAGTTATTTTCGTGCAAACCATTTATGATTGATAGAACCGCGCAATATTTATTATTCTTTATACTACTAATAATAATAATTCATAATACAGTACGTCGTTCGATGCTAATTAATCGAAGCAATTAATATATCCCTTCAAACATGGATTCACACAGTAAAATATACGCTACTCGCCTCTGGTTTGCTTGTCCGCAAAAACGGATTGATATGGCCAAATAAATTTTTAAGAAAAAACAAAATTACTTCCGTATATGCTTTAGGGGTAGCTAGAACTAACCGTACTAGAAAACGATATATTTGAGAGCACGTGTACGCCGCAACGGGACATTTATAACTATACGAGTTAATTTTAATAATAAAACTGCGCCTATAGTTTTACCAAACCTAACTAAAATTAAGCTACAGTGACGAGTAATAAACACTAGATCCAACCCGCAATTGCGGGGCATCAACATCGAAGATTCGTACTTGTGTTTAAAACAATTTCAAATGTGAACATTTCGCGCTAGAACAAAACGCGTTTAGGGGGCTTTTTATCTTTCCCACAGGCAAATAACCACGCATTTTATTGAGTTCACTCCCTCCGTAACAACCAATACAATTACTAACGACAAAAAACAAACCATTATTCGGCATTAACAAATATCGGCGGTGTGATGATTATTTTAAAATCGACGTGATACACGTGCTGTGGTAAAATTCAACTATTATTGCCACGGGATGGCAGCACATGCGGTTGCTAAGGCAAACGAATGCGCGTTTTGTGTACATTTTCGTGCTCCAGACTGACAAGAGAAACTACAAGTTCCATAGCGATATTATAACTTTCGATAAATCGTACACGTATATAACACATGGCTGGGTTACCTAGAGAAGTGATTAAGTGGTTGCAAAGCCTTGATTTAACATTTGCTGTGAAGAACACAAAGTGGTAAGTGTCTGTCCATAATGTATTAATGATACTATGGCTCATAGTCATAGCCATAGGGTCTATGACTATGTCCCCCAGGGTACTGCCGGTGTCACGGTCTGAGATTACCCCCAGTCTGAAATTACCTTAGCGCTACTGCGCATGCGCCACGCATGCGCACGAGGTGCTGGGTGTAAAGCGCAGTAGCAAACATTAGCATTGGTTAACTGAGACTGCCACCGTCACAGCAGTCAGCGTCTTAACGCCATTTGTGTTAGCAAAGTTGTTGTATTAGCTATTTGTCAAAAATACGGACAGAAGCAGTTTATTATTGCTCTGGCCAACACGAAAGTGACTATACGCACGGCGGCCGTGTGGGCCAGATTCAATATGGCTGTACGCACGGCGGCCGTATGACCGACTCAATATGGCTAGGAATGAGGAAGGGGAGAAGGGAGAAGCTGGTGGAGAAGGAGGAAGGGGAGAAGGGAGAAGCTGGTGGAGAAGGAGGAAGGGGAGAAGGGGGTGGGTGGTGGAGAAGGGGAGAAGCTGGTGGAGAATGAGGAAGGAG